AATGACAACATCAAACTTCTGACCACACTCCTGCTGAGGGCCCAGAATCCAGCAGCACAAATACACAATGGCTCAAGCTCAGAAAATAGCACAAGCTCAGACATCTTCATCTCTGACACAATTATATCCCTCCTGGTATGCTCCCATGGCCAGGAATCCAACGGCAAGATTGCAACACCCTTGAAAGCAACCAGACCTTCCTCTCATGTTGCACAGAGATGTTATCTCAGCTGCCACCACCCTGGAGCACAACTGACAGCATCAGTGCCCAACTCGCCGGGACATGACTGTGCCATGCCCGACAGCTGATGTCATCGAGACATCCCAAAACCCCTCTGCCAAAGCGTGGTCACCGGGGTTCCCGCTGAGTGAGACCCGGCTGCACCACCAGGGAGACAGAAATGGGTGTAGGTTTGCATCCTGCTAATGGTTGTACCTCCTCCAACCCCCCTATCACCCACCCAACTGATGACCCCAATGTTGCCATGGCCAAGAATGATCCCTTTTATGCTATTTCATCCTCCAAGGACCTCTAGTCCTGACCCAATTGGCCACCTCCATTGTGGTGTAACCCTCCCAGGGCATGGCCAGCACCTCTTCACCACATCACAAGATGCAGGTGCACCCTTCATTGACACATGGACATTGCTGTGGCCCCATGGCTCAATCACCAACCGTAACACAGCTGTGGGTACACCCAGAAGGGAGCATACATCCACAAGACCACATGAGCTCCTCCATCACAGCCAAGCCCCAGCCACCTCCACATCAGAAGCACATCCCCAGGCCATACTCACTTCATGTTCTTCACTGAACGTCCCCGAAGAGCCGCAACAGGGCACAGGAGGGTGGCCATGGCCACAATCCAGCAGTTGAAGAAGGCCACCTTGCAGAAGTAGTGGAAGGTGGCATTGTACCGGTAAAGCAGCAGAGCTACCAAGGGGAGGAAGAGCAGCAGCCCATGGAGTAGGACCACCTCCATCATGCTCTCCTGGCAGGAGGATGCTGGGGAGCTCAGCCCGCGTCCCCGGGAGCAGGGCGAGTGGAGCAGAGGATGCCAAGGAGCGTGGCAGGTGAATCAGGTGTGTCAGCAGAGCAGCGTGTGGGTGTGTGGGGCTGGTCCAGGGGAAGGTGCTTTGTGTGTATCTCACCCTCTGCAGAGACTCGAGGATGGACATGGGTGCAATTAGTATGGCCAGGCTGTAATTAGCCTTTCCTTCCACTCTTTGCACTGGGTATGTGGGATCCAGGCCAGCTCTGGGTCACCCTACGGAAACTCTGGTCTTTCTTGTCATTGTAGAGATAACTCTGCTCTGGTCTCAGCCACCAACAGCATCTCCCAGCCCAGATGTTCCCTATCCCAAACCCTGCCAGGGACATCCACCTGCTGCTGCCCAGATCCATTGGTTCATCTCTGACCCTTGGGGGACCAGAGGTCCACTTGTGCCTTCCCATAACAACCCCACCAGGGCTCTTGGGGCAAACAACTCCATTCTACCATGCTGGGGAGAAGCATCACATCACCTGGGTCAAATCCAGCAGCCCAGCCCCTCATCTGACACAGCCAAACCACCTGGCATCTCCCCTGCTCCCTTCTCCTCCATGCCCATGGCTCTTCTTTCCACCCAGACCTCCTCCCTGTCCCTGCTGATGTGGATGTGAGCAGAAGACTTTGGGTTCCTGGCCATGTGATGCTCTCCATGCTGCCAGTGGAAGGGTGCCCCAATTCAACCAGTGTGACCCAGAGAGGACTCCAAGGGTTGCTTTCACCATGAGTGTTGCAATCCCTATTGCTTCATCCTCACATTCCTCTCGTTATCCTCATATTCAAGCTAAGACTGGGCTGTATCTTGAGCCCACGCTTCCTGTCCACCCCATCCCCAGGTGACTCCTCTCCTCCTTCTTCCCTTTCTGTCTACATGGGTATGGAAACCTTTGTGCACCAACCTGGTTTCCCAACAAACTCAGCTCAGCTTTTGCATGGTCTCCTTCACTCCTGCTCTTGCTGCTCTGCCCAGCCACTCGAGGTGTTCCCAGATGGAGATGTGTCTTCATGCCACAA